GAGATTGAGGAGGATTTATGTAGGCTAATAGCGCCCGCGTTTGCTAACGATCCAGTTCGAATATATAAATTTGGTTCACGGATAACTGGCATTGGAACCCGCTCCTCAGATTTGGATGTATTCATAGACATTGGTTTGTATATAATGATGAGTTCCAAAAGTGATTGTTTAATTATAAAACTAAACTTTTAAAACAGGAAACAGTTTTCACCTATTCGAGCATCGAGCTGGCAAGAATACCATTGCCAAGCTTCGGGTACTGCGGGGATTGTTCGTAGACAGCGACGACTGGCGTATAATTAATGTAGAGATTTCATCTTTAATTTTATAAAGACTGTTAATTTTTGTCCCTTTGTTAATTAGGTAATCGAACAAGCGCGTGTGCCCATAATTAAAACGTGCCATCTATCATCTGGCATTGAGTGTGATATATGTTTAAATAGCTTGGGTTTTTGCAACACAACCTTACTCAAATATATATTCGAGACGCAGCCATTAGGTAAGTTATTTAGATATTTAAAAAAAAAATAATATTCGATCGAATTTATTTTTGCAGCCCAGTATATGTGCATTTTCTTAAAAACCTGGCTTGAGCGCTGCAGGTTGACAGAACAAATAACCACATATAGCATGGCCCTGATGGTTATCTATTACTTACAAATCAGACAGCTACTGCCATCGATTGCATTACTACAGCAGGGGGAATCAATGTCTACAAAGCAGTTTGTAGGACGTGAGTGCTGTCGCTGCTGATAATAACGATTAATAATTAGCTGTACTGTCCCCTTTTTACGTTTCGATTGCTTGCAGCTTGGATTACGAACTTTCAACAGAAGTCACTCAGTGAATTGGGAATGCAGCAGATAGAGGTAACAATCCCCGTACTCAAAGAATATTTAAAGGATTTTTTAAAGTTCTATGCAACATTCAACTATGAACGGAATATGGTTTGCCCATATTTTGGCAAGAAACATATACTTATTTCGCGCATAGAAAAGGAAATGCCGAAAAGGTAAATAGATTCTGATTAATAAATATAAAATTAGTCGCTGACTGATTAAGTTTTCCATTTAGGTATGTTGATTATGCAAATCAAAATCCAGAGTGCGCATTACAACTTCGGAAGCCAATGGTTGTTCAAGATCCGATACAATTAAATCATAATGTAACAAAGGCGGTGACGAAATATGCATTACAAAAATTGATTGATTACTGCGAGCAAACAGCGTCGTTACTTTATAGTAGTGTATAAACCTTTTTCATAAAATCATTCAAATTATTAAATGCTAATTGCCGTGATAGAATCAAGCAGAGTCGTATTTATTTAAAACCTTTGGTATTGCGACATTTTATTACATAGTTGTGTGACTTTGTGAACATTATAAAAACAAATAGAAATACATAAATATTAATAATGAACACACAATTACGAACACACATAGTACAAACATTCAAAAGCGCCAGGACTTAGGCCACAGATCAAATGTTGCACTTAGGAAAACAATTGTAAATACTATTATCAAGATGGCCCCAAGAAGTGAGAAGCGATTGTACCAATGCTGTTTGCTCTCCTGCATCATGGTATAAATGCGCATGGCAGCTTCCTCCGTGGCAAGTATGCTGCCATTGTTATCAACAACGAAATGTGACTTCTCACACTTTTTCTCTAGCGGCATTTGCGACTCGATCCGATTAACCGCCTCCGTTTCGGACAGTTCATTGCGTGCCAACAATCGTTGCAGCTGTTTTTCCGAGTCACTGCATTTCAATAAATATGTGTTATGTATCATTAAATATACATGTATGCAAATAAGTAATTGCTAGGCCTACCAGGACACAGTCACGATTTTGTGTATAAAATCCATAAGGATGCCTGTCTCAAAGAGTAATGGCAAGTCCAAAACGATCCAAGCATGACCAGACATAAATAGTTTGAATACACGCCAAAAGATAGTGCGATGTATTACGGGATGCGTAATCTGATTCAGTTTCCCACGCAATTCCTTATTCTCAAAGATCATTCGTCCTAGTACGGCCCGATTTAATTCTTTGCTGGGCAGCAATACTTCGTCACCAAAGGTGGCACGAATCTTTTGCCAGCATGGCTGACCCGGTTCTACAACTGTGAGAGCGTCACGTATTGTTAATTAAAGCTGAGGTACGCTAATTGAGCGGTCAATTACAACATCCCGTAAGAGATGTATGACTTACTCTCCCTAGCTATTTTATCCGCATCAATGACTGGAATGCCTTGGCGCTCAAAGACTTTAGTGACGGTACTTTTCCCCGTAGCTATTCCACCAGTTACAGCCACAATAAACATATCGAAGCAAAAGAAATAAATATTTTGGAATGTTTTACAGCCTTTTCAGTTATTGTTGACAGTTGTGTAAATTTTCGTCTTGTAATCGGTTTAAGGTTGTGAACTTATCGATTTGCTAAAAAGTTACGTCAGACGTTTTCCAACACTGAGAACCATATATTTTTAATGTTACACAGCACGTTTTTTCATTGAAAAGTCAGCCATCTTTAAATTTAATACATTTTCGTTCTCGTGCGTCGTTTTCATCAGTTGGCGAAATTTTCACCCGTTCGTGTTAAAAAGTTGTTCGCAGCGCGCATTAAATATCAGTTTCAGAAACTTTTAAGGATCTCTTTAGCATCTGAAAACAAAACATCAAATAAGAAAAATGGTGGATAAAATTGAAATGAGTTTGGATGATATCATTAAGTCAACGCGCTCACAGAAAAAACCGCAGGGTGGTCGCGGTGGGCCGGGTGGAGCTCGCCGGCCTGCCGGTCAACAGCGTTTTGGTACTGGAGGATCACGTCGTGGAGGCGGACCGGGAGCCGGCTCCCCACGTAAAGCGGGCCCCGCTAGTGGTGCCGGCGGTGTGCTCAAAGGTCGCCGCGGTGGTGGTGGCGGCGGTAGTGGCGTCATACAGAAGCCTCGGCTCGTACGGGTAATTGAACGTTACGTTTTGTCATGTAGAGAGCCAAAAAGCAGCACAATATCCATGCACATGCATAAAAAGGACAGCCCAAGTTGGAAACTCATGATTCTTAGCCAATTTCACATAAAATGATTATAAACAAACACAGATATTATAAAATATGCTAACAGCTGCACATACACGGATACAAAATGGCCACCGTATGCAGAATAAACGGTATCTGCACCGTTATTTGTACCATGTACCATGTGGACAGACAGCTGCAAAATGGCGGCTTCTAGTGGGCAAAAAAAGATTTGAAAAAATATTAACAAACAAAAACAATTCACTACCGAACTGTTTGGTTGTGTTATGGATGACGCGGCAACATCAGAGCTAGAGCTACACAACACAATTGCGTCGAAATCGAATTCATTTACATATGTATTTAAAAGTTTTACAGCACAACATTTCGTTTGAGGATTTCGCGCTTGTTGCGTTTTTTTTTTTTCTTTGTAATCCCCGTTTATAACACGTTTAATATTTTTTTACGCTTGCCAAACCAAGCAAAAAGTGGCAGTCAATCAATGTACATTCATGCATATTTAGTGTTTCTGCATTGCTTCGATGGCGTCCTCTTGATGTGGCTAGGATACAACAACTGCTGCTGCTGCTACTACATCTCCCACATATTTGATCAGAAACTTCTCCCCACGCGTTCCGTTCGAATCAACCAACAAATCTTCTACCTAATCCCCCCTTTAGGGTGATGTAAACAGCGCTTGGAAACATGATATGTACGATGGTCCAAAACGAAATAGTAGTGCTGGCAACAGTACAGGGCCAACACGTTTGATAGTCGGCAATTTGGACTATGGAGTTTCAAATACGGACATTAAGGAGCTGTTCAATGACTTTGGACCGATGAAGAAAGCTGCCGTGCACTATGATCGGTCAGGTCGCTCGTTGGGTAAGACAATGCGTACACATTATCTTTAGACTGTTTTACATAATATGTATGTATAATTTCGTATAGGCACCGCTGATGTTATATTCGAGCGTCGCTCTGATGCCCTTAAAGCAATCAAGCAGTATCATGGTGTACCCTTGGACGGTCGTCCCATGACCATTCAACTTGCCGTATCAGATGTTGCCGCACTTACACGTCCAGTGCCCTCCGATGATGTGAAACGTCGTGTGGGCAACGCCGCAGGATCGCAATTTAAACGTGGTGGTATGTACGACTAAAGAAAAAAGGAATTTCTTCCATATCACGAATTTATGATATTTAATTTCAGGCGGCCAGGCAGGTGGCGGACCACGTCGTGGTAGTTTCCGACGCCCAGCTGGTGCAAAACCAGCTGCTGGCGGCCAACGTCGCGAGAGGAAAGCTGCTCCAACTGCTGAAGAACTAGATGCTGAATTAGATTCGTATATTAATGACATGAAGATCTAATTAGATTTAGTCTGAACACTTAGCCTAAACACACAACATTGGACTTAATATTATGGTTCAACAACAAGAACAATTCAACGAACCGAACTTGTTCGAGAACAGCTTTAGTCATAATATCTTGCATAATTTTTCATTTAAATTATTCATAACGCTGTTTGGGTTCGCGCATTAAATGATTTGTTGTTAAATATCTCGATGTGGCGCCCTTCTAGTTAATAATTCATAAATACATACTGATTGATGTATTTATTCGTAAACTAATTTTACTTCATAAAAACACATTGACACAACGGTCATAATAATTGTATAATCAGGTATGATAAATATTAGATATAATACGAAAACTCAAGATAAATCACTGTATAATTTGAATGTATGTCTTCGAATGTACGTGCCACTAGAATAAAGCATTTCAGACCCTGACAAATATATACAAAAGACAAATGTGCATTTTAACTGCGATCTTTAGACCAATATTGCTCGGACATAAATTATACAGCAGCTAAGGGTGGATGACATGGACAAGATTTTTTATTTAATAGATCAAAGTTGATTTTTGGTATTATCTTACCTTACACATTCTGAGCCAGAATATAAGAAAACAATTTAAATTTTAAATGTTAATTTTAATTATTTTTATTTTTTTGCAATAATACATATGTGTAATTATAAACGAATTTAGAACAAATTTTGCAGACTGTTTCAAATTTCAATTGGACACTTAAGTACAAATGCAAATTTTGGTTCGATTCTCTAATGTATGTACGTACGTTAGAGTTGTTTCTTTTATCGGGGCGGATTCGCGAGTCACTTAAAGTTTTAACAATCGTGTATGTCGACTTAAATAGTTTGCTTAGTAGAACAAAAATAAAACGAAGAAATGAAAATTAGAGAGCGGGATTAAGTTCTGCAATCAAATCGCAGTATCTTTTAAACATTTTGCATAATATCCAATTTGGAATTTAAATATGAATGCATAAGCTATTTATGTATATATTAAGCGATTTATATTTATAGATGTATAATGGGATTGAGGATGCCTTGGTGTGTGTGTTTGTGTATGAAAGTGTATGCATATGCGTGAGTGTGTAAGAGCGTCAATAAATGCGTAACCACACATGTAAACTATTTTGCTGGGTTTCTCTACCAGAAACCGCCCGATGAGTAACCACCGGGAGGAACACGTCCGCGCGGCTGATCATTTGTCGCCTTGTTGCCATTGGTACTGGGCGTCTCTTTGGGCGGGCTGGCAGGTGCTGGTTTTGGCTCCTCCTTTTGATTGGCTGCCTCATCACGTAGCTTTTCCACTACTTTGTTTGCATCGGTTGAGCCAATGCAGGCATTTAAATTGGAAGAGTTTTGCTGATTGAACTTCGGGCGTGGTGCATTCACTGAAATTTCAGGCTCCGAAAAGATGTTCGTATGTCCGCCACCTGGGGGTTTGAGTACACGGCTGGAAGGACGAGCACTGGTACTCAAGCCAATTTTCAGTTCGGTAGATGTCATAATAACTGTTTATAAGTATTAGCTGAAATCGCACAAAAAAATTAAAATATATTACCAATACGAAGATAAACATTGGTTGATTTCTTTTTTAAAGCTAGCAAATAGCAAATTTTTTTAATTTCAAATAATGAGAGATACTTTCTAGAGAGACTGTAAATGCGAACTCATTTATCTAGTATGTCCAAATGTACATACAGAATACGAAACCGTCACGCCTCTTACAAAAGCTTAAAAATAATGTAGTAACAATGATGACTGGCGTCGGCCAACTGAACCATGGGGGAAAATGCCAGAATAGAGAGAAACGTTTAACAACTGATGCGGACAACAGCAGAATGGAACATTCGCAGTAGCATTCCCCCTCACGCCCTTCCTTCTACTCATTTCCTCACTACTACAGACACACAGACGAGCCATTCACATTTATATAGAAACATACATACATAATTTTATCTCTATTTTGAGCGCTAGCTTTTTTTTTTTTTTTTTTTGTTGCACTTTCCCGTTAACTATAATTGCGGGCCTGCAAACCGCGCACTTTCTCATCGTTCGTAATTTGAGTTTTTGGATTTTATTATTTTGATATTAAGCTAATGCATATTGTGCGCGGAAAAGGGCCTTCAATAAAAGGAATTTAGTTGCCTGAGACGCAACTTGAAGACTCTCCAGTTGCTCTCAATTTTTCATTCAATGTTGTCAAGTTTTTGGCAAGTGCTTGCCTCAGCAAAGAGTCAGTCTAGGCAGGGGGGATTGAGGTCAATGTGGGGCCACAATATGCGAAGAGATTTGCGAGTGTTGTAAAACGCGGGTTGTGATGCGTCATGCTTTGTGGGAGGTAACAAGCATGGATGAATTTTCCCCCGGGGGTGCATACACACAACCACAAATATGTTGAGGAATGGATGTTTGTATGTACAGAGAGACAGACAGGCAAAATGTGTAGGTATGTATGGAAGTGAGTAGAACAAAGCGAAGTGAATGACCGATTAATACAAAAAGTCAAAGATCTCAAAATAACAGACTTCAATCTTTTCCAATAACTAGCACTATAACAAATCGTGAATAAAATGATTTTGATAATTATTGATGCGTCAACTTATACTTTCTGTTCACGTCGACCAGCCCTACTCAGCTACAGGTAACTCATACAAATGCTTTTACTGTTGTTATTATTATTTATAGCGGCTGTATCAGTATATGTGTATGTATTTACGTTGAAATTATGAGTAATGAACGGTGCGCAATCTGGATAAAACTTGAAATTGGACGTTCGCCGGTTTGATTCGAGCCTCATAGGCTTTTGTGTTACGATTTTGTTATTGTTTCGAAGCCTTTGTTTATTGCCTAATGACAAGACGCAAGCAGACGTCGAAATAAATATGGATAAAATACATTAAAACAGACATGGTCATGTGTCGTATATTCAATGGCTATTGAAGTTTTATAACAAAAAGTGACGACCAACCTATATTTATTTACCACTTAATCTAATGAGCACAGGCAAACAAAAAAGTGACCCAAAGCAGCATCGACCATTTCCACAAAATGCAAAAAAAAAAAAAAATAAATAAATAAATAAATTATGAACTCACACGCTGACACAATTTAAGTCATACGTACACATATATGTACATGCACATGTTTGTATGTATGCCTTGTTTAGCGAGTTCTAAAAGTTCGGTTAAAACTGCCTGTAGCTAGTTTTTAGAGATATTAAGTTCGAAGCGTGTAGCCGCTCGCCTAAAAAGCAAAATGCAAACATGGCTACTAAAGCAGCCAACTGCCCATTTTGGCTGGGTATGGTAAATGGAGCCTCATCGAGAATATCGGGAGAATGGGATGTGCTGCGTTATTTTTATGCTCAAAATACATATGTATGTATGTATGTACAAATAGCTGTGCTAAATAAAACTTAAGAGCAGCTGCACTTGATAATACATGTACATATTAATATACCTATATGTATGTGTATACACACACTAACACGATATTGGCTATCGCAAAAGCCTTTCATCATTATCAATAGCATCATCGTCAACAAGATGCATACATATGCATGTATGTATATGTATGCAGTTAGTTCGGTTATGCTATAAATTCCATGACACAAGAGTATGACGATGATGAAGTTAGTTGTCTTGTGGAAAATTATTGATTTTGTTTAGAGCCGCATTCCACAAGTTTATGCTAATCATTGCTTTAATGATTTACACTATGAAATGTGTTGCTTACCTTTTGTATTTATTCAGAAAAATGTGCCTTGTTACTCCGTATGTATAAATTAACTAGTAATGCACACTGAAAAACGACGCCACCTTCTCAAATGAACGGTTTATTTAAAATGGACTACAACAGTGTGGCCGTAGGAGCTAACCCAAATATGACAAATAACTTAAATACTAGACATATTTGCTAACATAACCGGTAGCAGCTTTCTGTTAACCGATTGAGAAAACAATTTCATAATTTTAATAGAAGTATTTGAGTAAAAATTAAAATTTATAAATACAGATATATTTTCAATAAATTTTAGTTATAAGAGGTATAACTACGCAAAATTCCAGTATTAAAAAACAAGCTAACTTTATAATAAATATCAACTGGAACCTAGTAAATAACGAAAACAATTTTAAACATTAAACTGGCTACTTTATTGTAAAAAGAATCAGCTGATAAGCTATCGATAGCTTCGATTACTTTAACATGAATATCGAAAAAAAGGGCAATTATTTAAATTGTAAGGAGTGATTGAACTTGGCTTATTAGCCTGATTATAAAAGAGGCTTATCCCATTGACTTTTTTCCCCCGCACCCAAATAGAGAAGATACTAGTTTACGTTATCAACAAAATAATTAAAATTCTGTTGCTTGTAATTAAATTTAAATTGTTTCATTTATTATAGAAAACGGATTTCGCAGGTCATTTAAAGTTATTAATTAACTTAGATCCTTGATGGGTACAGCATCTAAAAAGAAAGGTGCATAAGTTAAAATTCAAACCACTTTAACAACACTCAAATTATTTGTTACTTACAATGCGAATGCGGTGTCCCATGGCATGACCAGGCAAATTCCTGTTGAAGCGTGCACGCACGGATCCAGTGTTGCCGTGGATGCGGGTAACCTTGCCCCAAACAGCGCGGACACGAGTCTTGCGCTCAGGATGCTGAGGTACACACTTCTTGGTCTGCGCTTTGTAGACATACACGCAGCGCTTGCCAACATAGAATTGGCCGTGTTCCTTGCGACGAGCACCCTCAATCTGCAATACATATTTAAATAATCTTAGTTACAAATTTATATGTATTATAGACAAAACGATATAAGCTTACCTTAAGGATAGCATGGTTCTCGTGCTGGTTCCTCAAACCGCGCTTGTAGCCGGTGAAGACAGCCTTTGCGAACAGACGGCCATGACGTTTGTATTTCTTGGTCGACACTTTCGTCTCAGTGGCGACAGCCTTCTCTGCCTTTGGGGCCTTAGCGGCCTTTGGCGCTTTAGCTGCTTTGGGTGCCTTTGCGGCCTTAGACGCAGCGGGCTTAGCTTGTGTGTCAGCCATAGTTCACTAAAAATATTCACGAAAAAGAAATTTAAGTTAAAACATTGCGTAAAAATCGGATATTATTCAAATTGATTTTTGACATTTGTTTTGATTGCGAGACTTATGGGACACTTGGGGTTTAGCCATAAACATCACAACGGTTACACTTTGTAAGGGCAAATAAAATATTTAGTGACACAATACACATATTGATCTATGCAAAGTCACAATAATTTTTAGATTTAATTGTAATATTCCTGTATATTTTGATATTTTATAATGCATAGCATAAAATCCGCGTACGTACCGGAAATCTATCAAATGGCGAAAGAGGGAGACGATGACAGTTCTGTCAAACAGAGGTGCATTTCAGCTGTTTTCAATATCATATATCGATAGTATGCAGGGCTGCATAGAAACCAGAATAAAATATATATATATATATATATCGAACTGACTTGGAAAATAAGTCAAAAAATAAAAACAAAACTAAATATTATAATAACAATGTTTCTCGTTAGACAAAATTAAGAAAGTTATAAAATTAACTAGCACATGTACCTACTTCAATCTTTTATGTACTGCAAATACGTTGTAACACCATAACTGGCCATCTTCCCGCTATTGAGTTGCATAAAAGCTGGTCTAAGAAACGTTCAGGGCAATAACGGGCTGCTGTTGCTGCTGCTGCACTTACTAAATATTGCAATTGACAACAAATGGGTTTACTGCTTCACTTCTGCAAGTTGGAAAAGCGCTGGCAATTGCTGCAAAGATGTGATATTATATTCAAACGCCATATGAAAAAGCAGGCAGTTAGTCCAACCAAGTAAGAGATTATTTTTTTATTTTGAAAATATATATTTGTTGTGTTGTGGTTAAGGGGTTTGGGTAGTGAACAGACTGTACAACGCCAGCAAACAAAAAGAAACGTTGCATAATTAAATTCTCTTATATACAATGCTAGACTTGCCGAGGTTGGACGCCTGTTGGAGGCAAAAGAAGGCAAGTACGATACCGGTCAACTGTTCTTGCACCGTATCTTTGGGTATCGCGGAGTGATACTCTTCCCATGGACGGCACGCGTATATGATCGTGATTTACACAATCCTAGAAAGCCGACAACGACGACCACAACAGCAACGGCAACAGCAACGCCTACTGCATGCACTACAGAGGCTTCACCACTTAGATTTAACGAAGGCAGTGGCGATAGCAGTGGGACAGTAGGAGCTACACAGAGTGATGATGCTCCCACTGCATGGAATACAACCAATACGGCTACCGACCCGCAGAGTACCCAAAGTATGGGTACCGCAAAACCAGCTACTAACGCCAACGCGAGTAGCTCTGTCGATGCCAAAGAGGTCAAAGGCAAAACGCAAACGTTTTATCAGGTGCTCATTGATACTAGGGACTGTCCCTACATTGTGAGTAATTTGTATTTATACATGTGTTTTTCATAGACATTAAATAATTAATATCGAATCGTTATTTTAGCGCGCTCAGACCGAGGCTGTCACTTTTTTGGGGAATCAGGACTCGAATCGCAGCCTGTACGCTATTCCTGGGCTAGATTACGTTGCGCACGATGACATTATGCCATATAGCTCAACTGATAAGCATCCTTTGCAACACGAACTGTTTGATAAGTTTTTATCTTATGCTCCGGATGCTGAACCACCATTTGTGGGCCAGGATACTCTGAAGGCGTGGCAGGAAAAGAATCACCCGTGGTTGGATATGAGTGATGTACACAAAGAGACAACTGAAAATGTTCGCATAACAGTTATACCATTTTATATGGGATGCCGCGAAACCCCAGCATCTTCGGTTTATTGGGTGAGTATTAAAGTATACCTAGTTTGTTCATAATTGAAACTGTACTGCTTCAGTGGAGATATTGCATACGGCTGGAAAATCTTGGTGAACTTAGTGTACAACTGCGTGAACGGCATTGGCGCATCTTTTCACTCTCTGGCACTCTGGAGACGGTACGCGGGCGCGGTGTTGTTGGCCAAGAGCCCATCCTCAGTCCTCGACTTCCGGCGTTTCAATACAGTAGTCACGTAAGCTTGCAGGCGCCAAGCGGTCATATGTGGGGAACGTTTCGTCTAGAACGTGAGGATGGGTATGCTTTCGACTGCAAGATACCGCCCTTCTCTCTGGAGTCTAAACCAGATGATGTGAGCACGCCTCCGGTTGGTACACCCACAAACGACGATGTGGATTAATGAATTTTAATAGACAATGGTTATTATTACAACTCAATATTATTTGACCATTCAGGAAGTACATGTGTTTAGGGCAAATAAAAAAATTTATTAGCAATTCCTAATCTAACCCAGCCTCACATTTTTGGTCTCCAGTTGTATTTGAAAGTCAAATGGGCGCCGATTCTCATGCATGTCAAAGAGTGTTAGCAATGCACATATAGCGGCCGTCTCTGTAGCCGTCTGAACATTCTCACCAAATCCCTTGCCCAGCAGCTGGCGATCTGCATAAATACCGACTTGGAAAGCAGCCAGAAGTGTGTTTTTGCCACAGTCACCTAATAAACGGGGCTCCGGCTCACCCAATTTCCGTTGGTTGCAGATTTCGCTTAGCAGCTCCAATGGTTGTTCAGGAGTCCATATATCTAACAAATCCTTTTGATTCAGTTGTGTGCAAATAAAGTCACGCACAAACAGAAATGCGCGATCCACACCACTTGAATCCGCTAAGGCACCAATGATAGCCTGTAGTGTTTCGGCAAGCGTCTCGCTGTTTGGTGGATACTCAGTGGAGAAGATAAGTTCTTTGGTGCCTAGATGCATGGATACATGCGCAAGCGTTTCAGTGCTTAACAGGTACGAGGTAATCGCCTTTTGTCCAGCTGGTGGCAATTTGGGGAGTGAATGCTGCAAATAGGCCTCTACGTAAGCCCTAGTTATATGTGCGCCTTTAGCTTTTAGTTGTTTGTTGTCGCTTATTTGCAAATCAGCCTCTGCAATCCCAAGCTTCCGCTGGCGCTCCTGCTCCTGGTTCGCATAGGCTTGTTGTGTGAATGCTATCTGGAGAATCGGCAACTGAAATTCCTCATTCAATCTCTTGCCAAATGCAAATAGCTCTGAGCGATAGTTCCATTCAAGAAATCCAGAGCGCGGCTCTGGTTTTTGTGGCCCTTGCTTTTTAACGCGATGCGCAAGCTCACGTAACGTTGGCGAGACCCAGCGTTTGAAGTTTCGCCGTGTTTGAACTGTTAAAAAAATAGTAATTAATGTATGAACTGAGTTACTTATTTATGACATACCTGTACCGGCAGTGTTAATAGGCTTTGTAAGCGCTATTATACTGAAAACACTGCGTAATAAGGACATCGTTGACTTATAATATTAAAAATATTCACTCAGTGTTTCGGTACATATGGATAACAGTATTGCCACCCCAAGTTATTTTTGATAAACATTTTTCGATAATTTTTTAATTGCAGCCCTTAATATTGTAAAAAGCTGGTCACCTTAACGACGCCATGTCGCTGTTTGCATGAAAATTTTTATATGTGAGACTTGTGGAAATAAATTAATTGATAAAATATATCTAAAATTCGAATAAATCGAGTACAGAGCATTAGTAGACTACATAGTTAAAAGATGGCGCTGCAGACATATGGTGATAAGCCTGTGGCATTCCAACTGGAAGAGGGCGGCGAATACTATTATGTGGGCTCGGAGGTGGGCAACTATATGCGGCACTTCCGTGGTATCCTTTATAAAAAGTACCCAGGAATGACACGTATTGTTCTTTCCAATGAGGAAAGAAAGCGTCTCGCCGATTCCGGCCTTAGCTCACACATTTTGGCCAGTTCGGTGTCTCTGCTCCGGGCTGTAGAAGTTGATGATATTATGGCCGGCAATGATGAGAAGTGTGTTCAATATCTCTAATATCAATTTTACTTGTATATAACTAAATAATTTTGAATTTTTAGATATCGTGCAGTTTCTGTAAATACCTCGGATACTCCAGTACCACGGGAGAGCAAATCTAAGAAGCAGCCACAATATGTTCCAACCATGCCCAATTCAAGCCACCTTGACGCAGTGCCTCAGGCAACGCCAATAAATCGCAATCGGGTGCACACTAAAAAGGTACGCACATTTCCTATGTGCTTTGACGACACAGATCCAACAGCGAGTCTGGAGAATGCAGCACAGAAGGAGTGTTTAGTGCCCATACGTTTGGATATGGAATTGGAGGGACAAAAGCTTCGTGATACTTTCACATGGAACAAAAATGAGAGCATGATAACACCTGAACAGTTCGCCGAAGTTCTGTGCGATGATCTCGACTTGAATCCCCTGCCATTTGTTCCAGCCATTGCTCAGGCCATACGGCAGCAAATCGAAGCGTTCCCTAACGACCCGCCCATACTGGAAGAAAGCTGCGATCAGCGCGTTATAGTTAAGCTAAATATTCATGTGGGAAACACATCACTTGTTGATCAGGTCGAATGGGATATGTCGGAGAAGAACAACAATCCCGAAGAGTTCGCCATCAAATTGTGCGCAGAATTAGGTCTGGGTGGTGAATTCGTTACAGCTATTGCATATAGTATACGGGGTCAATTGTCCTGGCATTGTCGTACATATGCATTTAGTGAGGCTCCATTATCCACCATCGATGTACCCTTCCGAAATCCCAGCGATGCGGATGCATGGGCACCATTCCTAGAGACGCTAACTGATGCCGAAATGGAAAAGAAAATACGTGACCAGGACAGAAATACGCGACGCATGCGACGATTGGCTAATACAACAACAGGCTGGTAATCGAGGGTTCGTTTCAGTAACGCACTTATTTGTGAATGTTTTAAGTGGATAAGCTCCAATAATAGTGATTATAAATAAATCATATATAATCAGCTCTGGATACTGAAACTTATAAGGGAAGTCGCAAGAATTAAATGTATTCAGTTAATTATCTTAAACTAATTTATAATCACTATTAAACATACGTGTGAATTGTTGCATCGTAAAACTGAATTCACCGAATTTAGTCGGCAATATATTTATATATATATAAATAATAAATACATGTCTATTTTAAAGCCAACAATGGCCATTCTGTTCATTCATTTCTTTTTGTATTAAATAATAGAATATTTTATTAACTTTCCATTGAGTCGGGTTTGTCCTGATCATGTTCGCCATCGTAAAACTCATTCTTTGCCTCAACCATTTTATCCTCATCCGCCTGTGACATGCGCACATCAGGGTCCGTTTCCTCTTTCATACGCAGCTCCTCGAAATCAACGTCTCGGGGTGTTTGCACCATTTGCACACTTGGCGAGTTCTGACACATTTTCAGGTTTTCATATACATGCTTTACGATCAGCTCCATATATTGTTTAGAATTTGCGTTGTCCTGCCGTGAATTTACATCCGGATGTAATGTGAAATCTGGCGCAAAGAAATCATAGTACTCCGTTGGAGGCAAATCGTTGGAAATCTCCTGATCGACAAGAAGCGACGTTTCGTGCGTCCAGCATCGTGCAACGTTTCGTAAAGTGTAACCGCCGCCGCCCACAACTAATGTGGGCACATTTAGCGTTCTGACGAACTTCACGCACTCTCCATGGCCACGAGTACTAAGCGAGAAACATCCGAGACGATCTCCAGCCAAGGAATCGGCGCCGCATTGCAGCACAATTGCTGTAGGCCGATAGAATTCCATAATCGCTGAAATTATTGGTTTGAACACTTGAAAATAGCTGTGATCATCAATTCCCTCTTTGAGAGGAACATTAACGCTGTAATAACGACCAGACTCGGCGCCAATCTCATACATATCCCCAGTGCCCGGAAAGAAGTAATTGCCATATTTGTGAAAGGATGCTGTCATCACGCGATCCGTTAAATAGAATGCTTCCTGTACTCCATCGCCATGATGCACATCAATGTCGATGTAGAGAACTCGCGGATTATATTTCAGCAGCTCTAGTATGCCAATTACAATATCGTTGACGTAGCAGAAACCCGAGGCCTCGAATTTCTTGGCATGATGCAGACCACCAGACCAATTGATACATATGTCGCTGTGGTTGTGGTTTAGTTTCTGTGCGCCCTCGAGGGAGGCGCCTGTGTACATGGCGCAAAAGTCAAAAAGTCCATCGAAGACGGGACAGTCCTCACCCACGCTAAAGTGAGCCAAATACTTAGTATAGGCAACGGCTGTAAGTACATTAAAATATATTGATATGCGATTCCTAATCGTAGGATTTTCACTTACAATTGCATTGAATATTCTGTGGAGTAACCTGCTGGAGGTAGGCGATGTATTCGTCACTATGAAACCGCAGCATATCCTGTGCACTAGCTCTGCAACGGGTAAAAAATACAGAACTTAACAATAATAATTAATAGAATAACAATTACTTACTTGTATGGTCTGTAGATTTTCATCTTTTTGTGCAAGCCGTAGTTCATGACCAGGCTGTGAGTGACGGCTAAGCGTTGCGGCTTCATTGGATGCCCCGCTCCATAGTGGAAATTCCCCACATCGGCATTGTAAAAGTATGAAACTCGTCTATCACTCATCCTTATAGCACCTACAAGCTAATCTCTGTCCAGTGCGACTCCCAATATGGGCAGTATATTGTTCTTTGCATATAGTACAATCAGCAGTACAGCCACGATAAATAAAAGTCGTCGTGTTGTAGTTAGCTCGTTCAAGCCAAATAACATACCGTTGCTCCAAAATCCTTATTATTTATTATGTTTTTAGTTCAGGTAAAGCTGCATTATCAAACTGTTTAAGGTAGTTTGTGGCGAAGTTTCTATTTCACTTCATTATTATACTAATATTTATTTAACAGAAGTAATACTTTTGTTCACATAGGTTCTGCACTAGTTTTTTCCTAGCAGTTTTATTTCGAAAATATTCTTGATTGTTCTTTTTACGCGTGTTTTTTATGTGTTGCTTTTTGATGTTCATTCGCTTGTTAACTTAACACAGTATAAAAATGTTATTAACATGGATACCGATAGCAATCACATATCGATAATATGTGTTGTCTTATTGATAGGCATCGATTTAAATCGGGGCTTGAACACGAATGAAAATCAGCAACATTTTTAAACAAGCATGTAATGCTTAAAAACCTTTATTAAACAACATAATTTTTTTTATTTAATCTGATATATACAACAAAAAAATTAAAAAACAAAACATGAGAACAAATTCTAATATTATAGCAAACTAACTATAGATTTAAATTGTTAAAATATCCAATTGGAAATATTTTGTTTAAGTTCTGTTAAATTAAGCAGCTGATTATAAAACGTGTTACTGTGAATGGCACATATTCTTATCTATCGCTTTGATAAGCATAAAAGCGTCCTCTGGAATCTGCGTGTGCAGTAATCAACAATAAATGTCATGGCATAGCAGAATATGAAAACTGTGTCAAACCGTTGCTAGGGAAGCGCGTAAAAGACAGTGCGCTCCAGAAGTGATAAAAGCAAATCTAATTTGCTTACATTACGAAACCGCAAATTGATTTTATTGCAAGAGGACCTATATATTAGATAGTGTAGCTGTGTCAAGCAGTGCATGGTGATACTTAAAATCTAAAGCTTCGTGACCGCTGCCCCCATTTTGTCCAAGATGTTAACCCTCTATTACGTGAGCGCCACTTTGGTGCAGTCCTGGCGTATTCAAAGGGCCTGCAACAAAATTGCTGAGCAATTAGCGCAGTCATCAAGCGTAGCGTTTTATGCACTTCAATCTGGCAGAGACGACGGTTTCGGTAAGCGCAATACACTTAATTTCATCTCGATTTAATATGGCCCTTCACTAAAATAGATCCCACAATAGCCAGCTCGGAGCTGTGCTGTAATCGGAACGTGGCTAAGGTAACGGATATACTGTGGTTGCATGGTAACCAGCATGGTTGCTGCCTGCGTCCACTGCAATCAGTGCAAATTACGCCATGGATTAGCTTTCCATCAGCCCCGAGTTTGCTACCGTTCGCCTATGCTGCGGACACTGCTACCCCCGCAGTAACTCCAACAGAAATCGAACCTCAACCCAGAATAAGTCTGTCCCCGGACACGGCGCAACATCTACAATTGTTGATCGAGGCCAATATTGACTTGCAGCAGCGGGAAGCCAGCACACAAAGCTGTGTACCGGTGCAGGTGAGTCTTTGCGCAGTTACCTAAGCAGTTTGTATAAGACTTAAAAGTGTTCTAAGCCTGCTGGACTAAGTGCCTAGAGAGGAGTGTTGCGTGTGCATGCTCAATAAAAATATTGCGTCATTTGAGCTATTTTCACTAGAGTGTATAGATGTGTGTTAATGCAGATGTGGCTTACCAATTTTCTTTTCATGCTTTACGTGATTCAACCTTCTAAAAAATCGACAGCTGGAAAATTACGGTAAGCTAATTGCATGGAAAATAGATTCCCACCTGGCGGTGCTCATCGAGACGGATATTGAGCACTTCACAAAACTATTGATAATGACATTTTTACAAAATAATTTATACATTAATGATCAGCTGCCACTAATGAGGATTGAGTGTAAGCGCACTAGCTGATTGAATTTTAAACATACAAAGAAGTATTAATATTAATTACCGTCAACATTTGCAGCTGTGCAGCGCGAGGGTGAACCACAGCCTTTTCAGCTGCTGGCTAATCATCTGAAGCGCCAATCCCGTAAGGCGGCCGAACTCAGTGCGGAGGGCTGGCAAAAGCATCTGGAGGATCTGCGTGCACTCGGCGTATTGGCTCATCAGGCTACTGAGTTCGAGCAGCAGAAGAACCGCAATGAATTGAAGCCTAGTACTCCCAAGCAGGAGCCCTTGCTGCAACGACAGGAGCAGTCGCCCGTGGCAGCCCAAGCCAGCCTTAAGGCAGTGGCTATAGTAGAGCCCACCACCAAGACACCGTCTCCTGCCAAGCCAACCCAGCTGAAGCAGCCGACGCCAGTTGAACATCTTCTAAGCAAGCCTAGTGATTTCGAAAAAGGGACTGCCACGACGAAGACTGACAAATCATCAACCAACACCAGGGAAATGGAAAAGTCCCCAGGAGTTCAGGACAATGCAGGCACGCCCGTCGCAAAAGCATCTACTCCGAGCAGAAGTTTTGTGGCTGTGAAGCCAAGTTCGCCACCGTCCGAAACTCCATCCGCCACCCGACCACGACCCATTTTGCGTCGTAATAAAAATAGCCTGGGTGAAAGTAAACCGCTAAATGTACTTGTCTACTCGGACAGCGCCAGTGCCCGTGATTCGGCAATGGTTACACTGCGTCAAATCCTGGAGCCAGACGTGTATACCATATATGCGCTAACACCACAGCAAGCGGCACAGAAACACTGGCTAGAGCAGACGGCGCTACTGGTGGTCTGCGGCTCTGTGGCTCCGTCTATTGGCCAGATATTAGTCGACTACTTTCTGCACGGTGGCAAGGTCTTAAGTCTCTGTTCGGATATCTTACATTTTATATTACCCAATTATCGCACTGCAGAGGTAAGCCCTTTAATTTCGCTAATAGAAAATCAATACTTCAAATTTATTTGTCTGTTCCAGGTTCGCGAGCACGAATTGGTTCAGTTTTCCTACGACAAATGGCAACGGGTGAAGATGATGCACCACATTTTTTGCTACCAGCCTTCTCCGGTTAAGAAAAACTTCTCCACCGACAGCGAGGAGTCGTCGGTCCAATCGCATTCACGTAAATCGTAAGTGGAGTTGCATACTGTAAATAGCATACACTGAAAACATTTCCACACATTAAATAATCACTCATGATATAAATTGAAATTTCAATGTACTTCCACAAATTGAAATTTAATACATACGCATTAAAGTTTATCACGCGCAACTGCCGATATAAATATATGTACATATAGATTGCTTGTTGTTAGCTTTGATCTTTAATTAGAATGCATGTTATACACGATTATACAATATATTCTGGCAGCCAAATCAAGTTGTTGCATACTTGCAGGCGCCCGTAACATGAAGTGAAATCACCGCCAGAATTTATTTTTTTTAAATATATGTATATTTTTGGAACTAAATGTTGTGACTCGAATAGCTGAACTAACATAATTAACTACAATCTTTTACTAATTCAAATCTATTTTGTGTTTCTCAAACCTTTCATGCTGAAATTGGCGCTATTTTTGTATATTATTTAACAACCGAATCGTTGATATTCATATTGTATATTCATATGTTTGATTATATGTATTTTATTTATACCTATGTATTTATTTAAAAACTTGTAACTAATATATTTTCCTCTACCACTTTTAACTACAATTAAAATGATATTTTCGTTTTAATTTTGATTATTTAAATGTGCCAAAATTTCTTTAAATTTTCATTCAATTCTGTTGTGTGTGCTCCCATTCTCTTCCTTGCGTGTGATTTTTCTCTCTTTCTCTCTTTTTTACTCTGTGATCGTGTGTGTGTGTGTATGTGCTATATGTGTCCATTGCTATTATCCTACTTACCATTAACCAAAAATCAAAATGAAACGATAATACTCGCAACAACAACATATAACAAAATACAAACCAAAAAAAAAAAAAAAAATCAAAATACGAAACGAACGCCGCTTAGAGCTCTAGTATGTCCAAGGTCCATGGATTTGAAGGATTTGACCGGTCAGACACACCAGCTGGAAGTCAAAGTGTTGGGCACTGAGGAGACCTGGAATACACCTAGTCTGATGTTGGCTAAAAGCTTGCAAAGTGGCGGCAAAGCCATCTTTTCTCAGGTTTGTACGAAATAGTTGGAAACTCTCAGTGATAAAGACCGATTATTATTGGCAGGTTCACTTGGAGACTAATCCCAACGAGTTTGAGTTTGATGAAGTCAAGTTTGCAATCTTAAAGCAAAGCGAACGTATACGTATCGAAATCTTTACGGACCTGTTACGCAAGTACCTGGAAGTGCAGGTGCGAGGTACCGACTCTGAAGGTGCTGCGTCTGCCGCAGTTGTCTTCAAACATGCCTATTTCTTGGGTCGTCATGAGGTGAGGTGTTGCCTATAGCTGTGTTTAGCTGTGTCCTGCTGACCATTTCGCTATTTGCAGTCCAAGTTTGAGCTGCTGGAGAAATTGCGTCCACGTTGCAGCAGCAATGACAACGTCATAATAATGCCCAAATTATCAATTAAGTTCTGTGGCAAAGATGACAAGCCGCCGGCCGCAAACGCAAATGTATTACCCATTCTGATACATTCCTGTCCAGATGATTTTTCCACAGTCGATTACTTTGATGTGGGTGTTAACTCGTATACAAAATAAATTTGCATAGATACATATTTTTAATATTTTACTTACAATTGCAGAATCTGAAAACGGAGCATATTGGACGCTTGGTCATCTATGCGCCAGTCTTGAGTAGCTCAATGCATGTCATCAACGACATGGAGCTAGTGCATGGCATTGCTGTGCTGCCGGTTCAACAGACAGCGGGGGTCGGTCGCAGCGGTAATCAGGTAATTAATCTAATTTATCTGCGAACATGAAAATTGTTTTAAAATATATTCTTTTCCGCTTAACTAGTGGCTGAGTCCTTTGGGATGCGCAATGTTCTCTACACAGCTGCACATCGACATGGACTCGCCCTTGGGCACACGCCTGCCGTTGGTACAGCATCTGATTGGTGCTGCAGTTGTGAATACTCTTCGAGGTCATAAGCTATATAGGGTAAGTGCTGATATAATATAAAAGTGGACGCCTTATGAGGAGGATATAGACTTAGGGATGGTATCACAAAAGACGATAGAGTTAGCAATGAATCGTACTTTATTGAATATTCTTATATCAATTCGAATATTTATTGCTTCAATGAGGTGTCTTTAATGCCGATGCGCAAAGCTAGTGGTACATACACGATTAGTGATACATTCCAATACTCTGAATCCACTGATTATATATGCCAGTATATTAATCTTGAACTATGAGGATTTGACAACAATATTTTTCGCTTTTTGAGGTATATTATTTCAAGCCATCGCTAAAGGCGATTATTTCAGAATTGGATATCATTATTTTGAAAATTCTTTAAAGCATTTAAGTTATAATTGCTTCAAAAAGATTTTCAATACAATCTTTAAAGCTTGTAAATTTATTATATATATATACAAAATAAGAATGCTTCTTTATAGTCTTCATACCCCGAAACCCCTAAAACGAGTAAAAAGTTGGGCAACTGCATCAAATAGTAGTATTGACTCAGACTCAATTAAGCTCAGATACATACATATTAGAGTATAAAAGACCTGGAAAAACTAAACAGGGTACCGACTTTTGAAGAGAAAAACTATTTGTTGGTGGTTCAACATACAGTTCCAGAAACTTCGGATGGCCAAGTCTATATATAAACCAAAGGGTTTCCATTGTGAAATTAAGATACAATTTTATATTATTCCACTACAATGGCAGCACGTTCATTCATATATTAGTTGCGTTACATGTGATGTATTTCCAATATTTTGATCTAAAAAGTGGAGTAGTCTGATTATGAATGTAGCGTAAATGGTGGATTGAAAAATGTCGATTTATGAATGTCTTCAGCCTTAGAGTATTGTGTAATGTTATGTATGAAGAGATTCGTACATAATTGAATAATTTTATTTGTATTAATTTGGTAAGAAAATTATATAAGAATCGTTTCACTCTGGGTTCAGGGTTAAAGTCTAGCTTAGTCGGTAACAGCCGACTTGAGAACTCTTAAATATTTTGTACATTTTTAAAGTTTTTAGTTGCTTTCGGTTTTAATCGAAATTGGTCCAAAAACAATTAAAGTTTTTTCACCACATTTTTCTTGTTCTTTCTAATTTCAATCAAAACTGAAATGAGTTGGTTAAACTTTATGAAATTTACAAACATTAAAATCAAATGGAAATATATGCATCTAATTTGTGATATTGCATTATTTTTAGCTAATTGATTTGTTTGAATAAATTTAAGTTTTGTATTTATAGTTTATTTTGACATTTTTTTTGTTGTTGTATATTTTGCATTAAATTTGTTTGCTATATACATTTTACAATACACGCTTTTTAATATATTAGTTAATATATAGTTATATATGTATACACATTTATATATATATAGAACTTTGCTTATACATAATTAACAATTTTAAAATTGCTCACCTGATTTATGTTTACATTTCGATTTGCCACAGTGCTTGCTTTTCATTAATGTAGGTAATTTGTAATTTTCTATGCCTATTTAACGCATTCTGATTTGCTTGTTGTTCTTTAACGTTTAAACATTGTCTTTTAATTAAACATTTGTTTGCAATTCGTAATTGTAATTAAATTTAAAATTATTTTACAATGTATATATGTAAATTGCTATAATTTGAATGAACATATACGTATATGTTTGCATTCATATACATATGTGTTGTGTTTTGCTTTGTTTTTTAATGTATATTTACAGTTATCGTTTTTATAACACATGCACTTTGAACTTTTCTTTGCGAGTCTTAGAGAGGCTGAGGAAGTGAGCTTTGCTCTCGGCAATCTCTCTCTTCCCCCTTTTATCGGAGAGCAGGTTTCATTTGACATTTCGCACGCACGACAATTACAGTTAGAGTTACACATGCGTATGAGTGGGGGTATCTGTGTTTAAAAACATTCAAATATATATATATATATATATACATATACTATATCAAATATATATATATATATATATATATATATATCGTGAAATTGTGCTAATTTGAAACAGTGTGTGCGTGTGCCTGCTTACATACATAACATTTATGTGTGTGTATAGAAATGTATAAGTGTATATAGTAGGCTGGTTAGAACACAGACTCCGCTGAGCGTGAAAGGTTAACGGGATGCGAGGGACTGCGCGCCAAACGCTTCTTTGGCAAATGCTCCAATAGGGAGAGTAGGCGTGCAAAATCTGGCCTATGCTCCTTTTCGTAGGTCCAGCACAGCATCAACAGATCCTTGACATCGCGACCAGATTGTAAATTGGCCAGCGATTGCTTCATGCCTCGCCCCACCTGCCAAATGATTGACTCTGCCGGTTGATCCTTGAACGTGAACTCGCCGCAAATAAGCTCGTACCAAACGGTCCCAAAAGAGTACACATCAGAATAGGACGTGAATTCTAAGCACTCACCAGCCGGTTTTCTGGGCAGCAGCGCTCGTATCAGTTCCGGGGCCAAGTAGCACAGCCAATTTTGTGGAACTCCCAGCCCCATATCACAGTACAGCAGCTTGGTGGAGCTGAAGAGGCCAAAGTCCGTGATGATCACCTTGCCGTTTTCAATGAAGATGTTCTTGGTGCGCAGATCCTTGTGTATTATATCCCTAGCATGCAAGTAGCCCATTCCCTGCGCAATCTGTTGGGCAATCAGCAGCGTGCGGTTCATTGCGAATTTTTCCCGTCGCTGATGTATGTAAGTGTAGAGCGTGTTGCCCTTGCACAATGATGTGACAATGGCCAAATACGGCGGATTCATGCAGGCTCCCATGAACAGTACCAGGTTCTCGTGCCGCGTCTTCTTGAAATTCGCCACCTCGTTGCGAAATGATTCCAGCATGTGTTCGTCCTGTAGATAGTCTTCATTGAGTAACTTCACAGCGACATCACCATGCCACAAGGCTCGATGCACAGTGCCGAAGCGTCCTTGCCCAATGCGCTCCATCAAGTGCAGATCACCATAAGGTATATCCCATTCCTTTAATGATATAGAGTTTTGGCGCCACTGGCCCGAGTCTCCATCTTCAGTTGAGTCTAAGCGCACAGGCGTGCGATCCGAGTCCGTGCTGGCGCTCCCTGACAGCGACACCGTCTTATCACTATCGTTCGACTTATGGGTGTCCGTGTACTCGCTAGTGAAGGGCGTGCGCTTGTCCACACCCGCATTGCTCAGTTTGCGGGGAAAGAAGCTGTCGCTGTTCACCAGGCTGGCCGTATAGGTGGCCGTGCTTCCACTGCTCAAATTCGACGCTTGCGAAGCAGCCGAATGGGTTGAGGCTTGACTGCCAGTCAGGGAGTGGATCAGACCATTGGAGCTGCTGCTGCTGTTGTTATTAGTGCTGGTGCTGTTGCTGCTGTTGGCGGAGCTGCTGTTGTTGTTTCCGTTGGTCAGGGGCTCTCCTGTGCTCATATGGGGCTGCGACTCATTGGATATCAACGTTTGGGCTGCACTCGGATTGCTATTGCAGGCATTGATGCTAGTAATAGTCACGTTCGGGAAATTGAATTGACTCTGCTGACCCTGTTGTCCACTCGCTGTTCCACCAGCAGGTGCAGGCTTCTGCTGACAGGCACTGGGCGTGCCTAATTGTTGTTGCTGCTGCTGCTGCTGAAATAGTGCTGGACTGCTGGGCGTGGAACTGGTGCAGCTTGAGCTTGGTGAGCTGCTGTCTCCATGCTGTAGCTGCGGCTGCTGCAATTGCGGCTTGCCTAGCGTATTCTTTTTTGGCACTGGTGACATTTTGCTGCCGCTGTGCTGGGATGGATCCCATCTACCGCCCACTTGAGTTTGGCGAAATTCGTGAATATATTCAGGCGGAAGACCACATGAGGGCGGCACATGCGGGGCGCAGGATTTGTGGCAAATATATTTGCAGTCAGTGCACTTTAGCCAATGGCTCAACATCTGTTTTTGGCATAGTTTGCAGGTGGCGCGTATGCCGAACCAATAGCTAAAGCGATGTTTAATGGTATGACCCATGCCCACGTGTGCCACACCTGGCGAGGGCGGCACTAGCAACACATTAGAGCTGCCGATGCTGCTAGAGTCTACAAAATTGTCTGAGCTGCTGGCCGAGCTATGGCTGTCGGGGCTGGGATCTGTGGGCAAGCGGTTACGTGGCGGCCTTGGTGGCTGCTCCGTTATTCCTACATCCGAAGCGCTGCTGTTATGCATTAGTAGCGTTTGATGCTTCTTGGCGGGAGGTGGCGTGCCAGCAGCTGTCGCGGTACTAAAGCTGCGCAAAGGAGTTCCGCTGGCGGATACCGTGCCGGAGGCGGGTGTGAACGGCGAGTTGGGTGGCGAGGGAGTTAATGTTAAAGTCATCTGTGAGCCAGTAAGTGGTTGCTGCTCGCTGCGAGAATTCGACGCCGAGCTGCTACTAGCTTTTGGCTTACTATTTCCGTGATGCTGATGTTGTCGATGATGTGTGCGAGGCGAGGCGCTGTTCAGTCCGAGGCCAATGTTGCCAATGCTACCGCGATGCATGTGATGAGGATGAGGTCGATCCCATGAGTCCCAGTGCCATTGCTCCGGATCAGAATTTGGCGCAACTGCTCCGCTGCTCTCTAGTGTTTCCATACATTTCCGGAGATTATGCATCGCTTTAGTCAGACGACGCACTTCTTCATCAAGCTGGCTACCAGGATTGTGGGCAAGCATTTGTTTCAGTTCTTCGTCGCTCAGCTGCAACGTTTGCTCCAGTGTAGTGTACCGCGATAGACATGCATTCAAAGATTCCGGACTGAGACCCACAACTCGCAACCACTGACGCAATTCGTTCCCTGTGGCTTGGTGATGCGGGAGCAGCCCGTTAGCGGGTATACGCTCATTTAACCTTGCTTTGGTTAGGAGCAGCTCGGAGAAGTAGCGTACTAGCTTTGATTCTAGACACCGTATCTCCTGTTGCGTTAGCGTTGCACTCGTAGCACATTGTGTCCGCAAGCCCTCCAGATGGTTAGCCGAGAGATCAATCATATCCTGTATGATAATTAGATTGCTTTCGCTTGCATTCGTCGTTGTATTGTTGTTACTGCTGCTGCTGCTTTTGTTGCTGCTGACTGGCGTCGCAGTCAGCTGGGCGGCGGCGCTGCTGCTCATTTTGTTGTGAACCGCCCGCCCCTTGCAGCAGCACAAACTGATTGATTTTTTCAGATGCACTCACAAATCATTTGTTTGCACCACTTTGATGCACATTCCCTCACTTTGATTGGTTTGTCTCTTTTACTGAAATCACACACGAGCAATCCCGCGAAATGTAAACCTCAAGAAAGATTCTGAAATGCGGAAAACGCGATAAGTTTAGTAGTTTTTAGAAGGTAGACAGAACGGGTGCCGTGTTGTCGCCTGCACGCACGAAATTTCTCTACACCCAAGTAGTAGAGCTGCGTAACTATCGTCGATGGTATCGCCGTTATTCTTGTGTAGTTCAATATATCGATACACTTTTATCCCAATATATCGCTGATTGCTCCACTACAAAGTCGTTTTTATGTTAAAGAGATTTTTAATTCGTTTGGAATCATGTAGTCTTATGTAATTATGAACATAATCTCATTTTTTTATTTATTTATTTTATTTATAAAAAAATTCTTATTGACTAGCCCTAATGATCATTGATATTTCAGAATTAGTCAACAAAATCTTATTTTATTATATACATATGTAAATAAATTACATTAAGATTAGTTAAATATTGTAAATAATGTATTACTTTTTATTGAAGGTACTCGATATTGCTTTGAAATGGCCTAATGATATTATAGCCAATGGAAATAATAAAATTGGTGGACTTGTCGTAAATACTACACTATTGGGCTCCCAGGCAGTTGTTAATGTTGGCTGCGGAATTAATTTAAACAATTCAAAGCCAACGTTGTGTATTAACGATTTAATAAATGAGTATAATGTGCGAGTCCCTAACGCTAAATTACCATTACTGAAATATGAGCAGTTTATTGCAATGATTTTTAATGAAATGGAAAGAATATTGGCAGAAGTACAAAACGGAAAATTTGAAAATTTCTACTCTTTGTATTATGATCTTTGGTTGCATAGGTAATTGAATTGCTTAAAAATGTGTAACAATTTTAATTATATTTTCTTTCTACTTTTAGTGAGCAAAGCATTAATATTTGTCTGCAAAACGAACAACAAAAGGAAGCCAAAATTATTGGCATTGATAATGTTGGTTTCTTAAAAGTTAAATTGGCGAATGATACGATTGAGACTGTTCAACCCGATGGTAACAGTTTTGATATGTTGAAAGGATTGATAGTACCTAAATACAATTAAAAAATTCATTATGGGAATTTATATAAAATACAAATTATTTATTCCTTAAATCTTTTGTGTCAGGTATATATACTATATATGAACTAACTGTTTGAAATTTTAGGCGCATTTAGAGACTTATTATTAATTATAACTATTTATATATTTACAATTCTCTTCACTTAAAGTGAACATTTAGTCAAAACATATAATTATATAGCTTAAATTAATACACTGCCAATGTTAAGTGTTTTCATAAATATTTCAAGTTATCGTAATTCGAAAATATGATCAAAACAAGTTATTTGCCATAATTTAAAAATATTTGTGTCTTAAATCTTGAAATTGTTCATAACTTTTACCCGTTATAAATGCGAAAAATTACTACTTCCCTATAACATTATATGTGTTAACTCAAATATTGAATTTAATAAAATTATACAAATCCAAGCAGTCTATATAAATATGAAAATAAACCTCGACTGCTAAGAATTCAGTATTTTGTGCTGTTATCATTTTCGGAACAATTGGTATTTTTAATGTCGCTGGTCACATTGCTGATAACAGGGTGACCACTCACGTTTTTTTTTATACATGCATAGTTTTTACTTGCAGTGAATAAAAGTACCAAAAAGTTTTATATAAGCGCCCCGGATAAAAGGAAGATTAAACATTAAAGAATGGCGCAACGTAATCATCGTGTAGATCGTTTTGCGCAAATGAGCAAGCAAGAGGAAATAATTGCCAAAAAACGCCAGGAAATACTTGAGAAGCAGCGTACAGCGCAGCTGGCAAAGGCCGTGGCTGCTGCTCAGACATTGGCTGCACAGTTAAAAACCATTGAGACGGCAACGCCGGTAGTGGAACCAGAAGAACAGGAGCAGGAGGAGGAGCAAGAACCATCAACGCAGACGTTACCCGTAACTCTAGCGCTTGCTGATGATGGAAGTGCGTTGGATGTAGATAATGGTGATCAGGTGGGATCGGCGGCAAGGGCTAAGTGCGATGATGGTATGGCCAAAACGCTGAACAGTTTTACGAGCAAGACGGGCAAAATTTCGTTTAGTCTTAAACGTCAACAGCTGCCGCAGCCAAGTGTTGAACAGCCGCCACCTAAAGTGAAAAATACATTTTGCAATGATGGTTCTTTTCTGGAGAACTTTAAGAAAATACTTGAGAAACATGATCAACCAAAACCGCCTACTATGGTGGCTCCTGTTACAAAGCCAAGGTAAGGACTTTTGTCTTTCAATTGCACCGATTCTTTGACACTTTACCCTTATTTAACAGTGAGGAGAACAATACGGTCGACACTCACAGCACCGAGAATAATAGTCCGCAACAGTCGATGGAGCTGGCGGTTAGTACAATAGCCACGAGTGCAGCTGCAGCAGTGATAGCTACTTCTATGGCTAACAGCATGACTATGGCTGGCTCCGGGCACAATCATTTAGCATTTAGCATGCCAGGGACGCCTACAACTATGCCGCAGGCTGTGCAACCACCACCGCCACCGCCGTTTGCATTCAACCCCACGATGTTGGCACAAGGACCGCCACAGATGACGATGCCAGCTTTTTTCCATGGACACCATCATCTGCCTATGCAGTTGCATCCAGCTGCTGTGGCCCCACCGCCGCCGCCACCACCGCCACAACTTCCTATTGCGTTGGCCAATTTGACGCCAATCTATATGCAATTGGGACCAACGCAGATGCCGTCCGACGCAGCGATGCATCAATTGAATGCCATACCGGCACCCAAAGACTTTGACTTGAATGCTATACCAAAGCCGCAGATTAATCTCGAGGCCATACAGATGCCTAATGTCACACAGGTGGATCAAATGGGTTTACTGCCGGAGCATGTCACGGCTAATCCACCTCCACCGCCTCCGCCGCCCATGCAGCCAAAGGAACAAGCATTGCAGCAACCACAACTGGAGCAAAATGAACAGCAGCAGCAGCACAATCAACATCAACAACAGCAGCAGCAACAAGAACAGCAGATGCAGCAGCAAATGTCGCCGCCAGCCCAAGGTGTGTATCTGTAGTTTGTCAATAGCTTTGTCTGTTCTTTTTTTTGCAAAAATTCCTGCAGTAACCCATCCATTAATCAATTCCCTCTATCTACCTAAATCCTATCCCAATTGAAATATCCTAAATTCTCCCAACATCTGAATTAATTTCATTTAATATATTTTATGAATCGTTGTGCACGATTTTAAAGCAATTTATGTAGTTTTTTCAGAAACATGCATACAATTGCCAACGTGCATAGAAAACCTTATCGCACTGGTCGCCGAAAATGGTGAAGATTACGAAGATAAAATACGTTTGCATAGAAGCGAATTGCATCCGGCATTGTGGTAAATCAGCTGCACATTATCATGCGCAGGGCACCTTAACTAATAACAGAGTAAAAGTGGGGCAGATTTTTTAATTTTGGACGGAATAACTAAATATTTAAGAGAAAGCATTAAGTAGCTTCGGTTTGCCGAACATGTAATATCCTTGCAGATGATTCCACTCATTTTCATCTAAAATTTTAGTATTTGTCCGCTGTTGTTAAGTAATGTGAATGTTATAGTTAACTAACCTGACCCGTTACATATAACTCGAACGTTGTCTTAGTTCAGGCTATAAATAGGTTCTATTGTATTCTATGCATGAATTATTTTATTAGTTAGTAATAATAGTCTGCAAGGTTATAGAATTAACAGTGAGATTCAGGTCATTTTAGAATCAGAACTGGACACACTTACGCCTAGACTCATCTAATAGCTTCCGGGACAATTTAGTTTAGTTCTCTAATATTAATTAATGAGCTTCAATTTAGCTAACATTTCATATTGTTACATTTTGTACTGCAGATAATTATTTGAATAGAGATAGTTTAATAGAATTATGTTCTTTGCCCAATTTGATCATATGGAAGGCATAGTATAGTCCAAGTGCCGTTTGATGGTATTGAACAACGGATTAGACTTGGAATGAGATTAGGTCGCACGCATCACCCACTTGTCACACACTGGCCGTATGTTGCCCGTCGCCATTCCACTGGAGGAGTAAGCTGAAGGATTCTATAAAATCACACTACTAAACGGGCTCCAAAAAAAAAAAAAAAACAGTTACTCATATAATGTTTTTGTATACTGAACGCAATTGGGCATTATTCATTGTACGTTTCACTTCTTCTTTAAAATTTTAAAATAGGTTTCTTTATGATAAGAACTGCGAACAATATCGAAACTATCGCGGCCAACTGCTCGACTACGAACGCCAGCGCGGCGAGCGAGAGCGGGAGCGGGCCGAACAGCAGCTAAGCAAGGTGCAACAACAACAGAAAGATCGACAGCAGCAGGAGGAACACAACAGCAATTCGGCAGCAGATAAATATGATCCGGAATCGGCAATTACTGCTGATTTTGATTCCGATGATGAGTATATGCGTGGCATGATGGATCGCAATCGGGACAATATCAAGCGTCGCATCGAGTGCCGCAACGAGCTGAGTGATGAGGAGCGCAGAGAGAGAGAGGAGGAAGCGGCAATGACCACAGCTGGTGCTCTGAATAATTTGGATCAGGATGATAGAGAGACACAGCGGCAGCGCCGTAAGCGAGAACGCAAAAGTCGCTGGGGCGAAAAGGAAGCGTTGCCAACCGGCTCAGGTGAGTAAATTATCAGCTGCTCCTACATAATATAGAATAACTTTAAAAATGCTCTATTTTAGGTACACCTACTAGCTTTGGGAACCAGAACAAGCCCATGCTGACTACTATCACGCGTAATGATCCGGCATTGCTGCAGTACGCTCGTCTTAACTATGGCTCCACACAGTTGTCTGAGGACCAGTGGAAGCAATGCGAAGAGCATTACAAAGTCAATTTGTTATACCAGGACATGATGCGTAAGCGTCAAGAGATCGATCGCCTAGCACGAGGCGGTAAGTTTAAATACGAATACGACTCCGATGAGGACATCGAGGGTGGCACCTGGGAGCATAAATTGCGTACAGCTGAAATGGAAGCCACTCACTTGTGGGCCAATGCACTTACCAAACAGAGCGAGGGGAAGCATCACATTGGTGATTTCCTACCTCCCGAGGAACTAAAGAAGTTCATGGAGCAGTACGAAGCAAAGAAAAGTAACAGACAGCCGGATTTAAGTGACTACAAGGAGTACAAATTAAAGGAAGATAACATTGGATTTCAAATGCTGCAAAAGCTCGGCTGGAAAGAGGGTCAAGGCCTGGGCCAAGACGGTGCCGGCATTGTAGATCCAGTTAACAAGTACGATATTTTCAAATCCTTTATCCTGTTATTGGCTAAACTAGGTATTTTCAGGGCGCCACAACGTGACGGCAACCAGGGTCTGGGCGTTGGAAGTGTAGCACAGCCTGAAGATTGCGACAACGAGTATGATGCATACCGAAAGCGAATGATGTTGGCATACCGTTTCCGCCCGAATCCTTTGGTAAATTGAAAAGTGCACAGTGATCGAAATATCCGCTGTAATGAACTTTTCTCTTTCAGAATAATCCACGTCGTGCCTATTACTAGCGACTACGCATATAAGCAATATCTGATGCTTTATATTAATTAAGATTTACTATCTGAGCCCATTTATATTCGATCACATATAAGGAGCGTTTATAAAGTTAATATTTATTAAGTAGTATGTTACTGCTGACCACAATGAATATTTGCTGAAGTTCTTCTTCTGGATTAGATGCCACAATTTGTAGTTGTGCTTATTGTTACGCATTATATTTATATAATATACATAAACAGTATAGTTCGTAATCAACTTATAAGCTATGGATGCTATAATAATGTGTGCTTTAGGGACTATCAAGTTGTTTAAGGTTCTTGGGAGGTTTGTAGCAGTTGCTTCGTTATATATATAGGTATATATTCTGTAGTTGGCTACGCGGAACTTGAACGCCTAAACGCTAATAATACTAAATTGTACTCGAACTGGAAACGTTGACTTAACCTTAAGAGTAGAGCGTTAGCACCGGCGTCTGGTTGCCGCGCGCCAATACCACTGGGCATTTGATATCTGACGTCAGCATTTCCAGCCACGACATATAGAGTGGTGCTGAGATCGCCTCCTGCAATAGATGTATTGATATTTATATAGAGTATAAGATTGAATTGCAACAGAGTTTGGATTTGGGTACTCACCTTTCGCGGCATTGGCAGGGACATGACCACCAGTGAAGCGTTCGATGAGTGCTTCACGACTAGCTCATGGATGCGCAGCTGTCGCTGCGTTTTCTCGGCCATGCTGTGCAGCTCTTCGTCAGTGATGCCGAATTCGTTGCGGGGGCTGCGACGGAAGGGATCGATGAGTCGTTTGTGCTTGAGCATTGTGTCATGACGCGGCTGATCCTGAACGCCCTTGAGCATGACAAGCTCTGAGTATTTGATACGGAATTTGGTCAGCAAACTGGCCATGCTACAAGTTAATAATGTAAAGAGTTAAATTTCCAGTTAGATGTGGACCTGCGAATCGTACCTCTTCTCCTCCTGCTCCTCGTCCTTGCCATGACACATGGTAAACACGCGCAACTTGCAGTTCTGCCAATGCGAACGCATCGAGATGATGTAGGGCAGCAAAATCGTTAGACCTGGCAATAAGGAAACGCATCCATCAAAATCTAATTTTCCCCATTGTGTGTCATGTGGACTCACCGCCGTCGTCGTACAGCCAGAAGACATCGATGGTGCCCTTGGGTTGCTTTCGTGTAAATATGTTCATGGCGTCCAGCACAGTCTGGGGCACCTCGGAGCCACCTTTGGTGTGGTAGGTAATGGACGCGGCATCTGAATTGTTGATTTTGTAGCTGCGGGAGCCGCGCTGCATATTGGGCAAGGGCGGTTCTTGTGGCATGGTGTAAGAGTTTTGTGGACTGGCGCTATCCATGTTGGCCAGATTCAAGTTCGAATCTATGTGTAGCAGCTCCGAGGCTGCGTTCGCGGCGGTCAACAATTCGTTGGCAAAGCCTTGTCCATTGGCTGTATTCAAGTGGCCCATGCCATTGTCGGGCATCACTACTTTCGGGGTTAGCTCCGAGAAGTCCAGGCCATTCGGCAGTCGAAGCACTGCCACGCCCATGCGCTGCGAAAAGGCGTTGCTGCAGGTGATAAAACGATTCGCATGAGCAACTGCAATGTGGGAGATGTTTTTTGGTTACTCACTGCAATATGGCAAAGTAGCTTTCCACCTCCTCCTTGCGGCAATGATTCCAGTCCGGCTTATAGCCCACCAGCACAATGTTTGGTGCCATTTTTCCAAAGCCTGTGGACTTGATCATGGCATTGATGCCGTCCTCGATGCTGAAGCCGTCGATCACATTGTAAAACGCTTTGATTTTGCGCGCGTCCAAATACTTTTGTCCGTCCTTGACCAGAGTCTGGCGATTCTTGTAGCCCACACGCACCTGCATAGCAATAATATATCGATCCATTTGCTTATATATATATTACAAAATATGCATTTACCGGTATAATGTTGCCCACGAACATAAGCGAGTTGTTCTTGGTCAGCAGAAAGCCAAAGTCGACGAGTGGCGGACGCGACTTTGGATCTCCAGAAAGCACTAACACTTGGGGATGATAGTTCTTCACGTGGTCCGATACGTTTTGCAGACGATGCACGGCCATTAGAGCAGCCTTGTATTGTTGGGCCTGTGTGGTGGATCCCCAATTGGCATCCGGTTTGCGATACATGACCACCAAATACAGGGCAAAGATAATGCCAAAGGTTATAATGGCGGCCACATAATTGATGAGGAACATTATCACCACACACATCGCAAACCCGATTAAACTAAGCCATGCGTTGTAGTACTTAAAAGTGGGACGCCAGCCCAGGGGCTTGACGACGGCCGCGTGGAATGTGCAGAAGTTGATGAGCGCGTAGGAGGCTAGGTAGAAGGTGGAAATGAGCGGGGCGATCAGATTTAGCTCGCCAATTAGCAGAAAGCCCGTGGAGATGAAGAAGGTCAGCACATAGCCGCGATAGGGCTCTCCATGTTTGCCATAGGGCTTTGAGAAGAAAATCAATCCTGGATAGATCTGATCGATGCCCAAAGCCTGGACCAGACGCGGCACCGACAGCAGATTCGTCAGCGCCGTGCTCAGCGTTGCCGCAAAGCAGCCGGCGTAGATGAGTGGCCCCCAGAGCGACATCTCCTGCATCATCTCATAGGAGTTGAAGAGGCCCCAGCTGCAGTTGCCGGACAGCATGCAGGGCAGTTCCGATGGCACAATCGTGCCGTTCACCAAGTCCTCGGGAAAGCCGGAGGCATCGCGAACTGCAGCACCGCCAGCGAACAAGGTAAACAGTACATAGGAGGTCATCGAAACGAGTAGGGCCCAGAAGGTGCCCTTTGGTATGGCTGCACCGGCATCTTTTAGGTCGCCACAGATGTTGGCTCCCGCCTGAATGCCAGTTACGCTCGGAAAGAAGATGGCAAAGACGCTGAAGAAGTCGTGGTTGACGCCTTCTGCATAGCGATAATCGGAGCCAAAGTTCTCTTTGAATGTGGACCCTATTGAGGCAGAACGTTAGAAACAAATTCTGAAATACTTTATCCAAGCTAAACGTACAAGAAAATCCCACAAATCCCCTTGATATTTGCTTCTCATCACCACGGGGTCCGATCGCAGAGCCAATCAGAAAATTGATTATGGCCAGGATAATGGTGAAGATGAGGAAATTCTGCGCCTTGGTCTCCCATTCCATACCAACGCAACAGATCAAGATCAATACTAGTATCGTAACTGAGCCCACAATACGGATGTCATTGATGCCATTGTCGACGATAATTAAGCCGTTGCTCTCTGCAAGATTCAATGGCAGTTTAGTCCGATTGCTTAGTGAGCTCCCTCAAGGATACTTACTCAGCAGTAGATTTAGCGATTCACAGAAACCGATTGTATTCATCGAAGCTGAAACCGCGTTAGCGAAGGCAAAAACAACTCCGACGGAGGCGCCAAATTCGGGGCCGAGCGAGCGGGATATGATGAAGTAAACACCACCGCCCTTCACCTCCCCGTTGGTACTAATGGCCGACAAGGAGAGGGTGGTTATAACGCAGACAATCGACGAAACGGCAATAATAATTAACGTCCACAAAATGCCGGCCTCGGCGACCACCCAACTGAGACGCAAGAAGAGCATGACGCCCCAAATGTTGAGTAGGCACGGTATGAGTACGCCGACAATCCATCCCAGCTTGATATGACCACCAGTTGGTTCCGGTTCCGCCGCATCTGGTATGTTAATGGTCTATAGACGATGGAATAGATAAAGAGAGAGAGGAAAAAAAAACGCAATTTAGCAATATGGCAAATGCTTTGCTCTTGGATAAATGTAATTGTATAACAAAATTATAAAAAAATATATATACATATATATGATTATATATAAGATCATTATTTTGTATTTATACAGAATTCCATATTAACAGCTTTCCTTTCTAGAAAAACAAACATTTTATACTTGTTTTCAATTAACATCTTGCTAAATCATTATATCTATTTATGTACCCTAGTTCATTTTTTTTTATGTTTTTCACTGTGTATCACGTCATTATTTATAGTTTTATCTTAATGTCTTCTTATATATTTTATCTTATTTCTATTCTAAAAATCCGCATATGGGTTAATTACTGCTCTATGCATAGCCGTTAGACTCGCCAACTTTCAATTAACATCTTGTCAAGTCATTGGATGTGAAAACAATCACATAATCCATTTGATTTGGTTTTTATAGTTACGCTAAAAATCGTACATCTGCAAAGTGGGAGCTGAGCAAACCTCAACAAACGACTTTTCAAAAGTACCACATGAAATTATTATGGATCTGTGCTAATTGAGTCCTCAATTTGCCATGCTAAAAGAGTAATCGGTCCAATTAGAGTTTTGCCAATTGCCCAATTCCAATTCATTTATAGAGTATAGAGTGCTTTACAATGATCATCTAAAATAATTAAATATAATTGGATATTTCATAGAATTACATGTGAGCTGTCCAGAAGGTAATCGACAGAAATGGAAATGGATATTATTTTTGATGTCAATACTTGTCCAAAGGCTTTTCATACTGGCAGCTAAATTGCATTGCAAATAACTAAAACTTTGTATTATATACAAAATATTTTAAAAGTTAATGAAACGAAATTTGTTTATTCAACCTAAACTCAACCCACTAATTAGCTTTAATAAAAGTCAGAAGATAAAAACAAATGGAAATGGAAGAAAACATTGTTTATCATTTGAGTTCTAATTCAATAACAAATACAATTTCGGCTAAGTGACGAGGTATCTCTCGAAGTCCATTTACAATAGTGGCAAATTAATTCATTTCGATTGATTCACTTTCGTTATTTATTTCGGCAGAATTATTTGCGGTTTATGTGACATCTTATTGGAGTGAGTCGTGGCAGCAGACAGGCGAAGGGAGGGACACGCTGATCATCCACTTTGTTGTTGGCTAACATAATTGAATGTTTTTTAAAATGTGAGCATTGGCTCTTTGCCGAGGGTCGGCCGGGTGGGCATGGAGCGAGGCGGAACGCAGCGAAATGGGCGGGTCCTTCTACGGGACTAGCAAGCATATTGGCATTGTGTGACATCGAAGGATATGTCTACACACCCCTTCAGGACAGCTAGTTACTCAGCTCAGCTC